AGAACTCATGCCCTATCGAGCATGTTATCCCATTTTGAAATTGGTTTATTCTGCAGCAGCAAATGCTAGTTACAATATGGGTTCCAGCGAAACCAATTTAGTCATTAGTAAAGCCGAAGTCAATGAAGGTGCGAGTTGTTTATTTCAAGAATAGGTTGGACCAACCAACTGTACCCTTTTCCGTTATAAGTAGGAAAGAGAGGTGCATGATCTCGCGAATTACTTCTGTATAAATTCTTAAATTATATGTAAGAACCATAGCATTTCGCGATTCATTGGTAAATTTATTTTGATTCTCTATTAACCAATAATGTGGAACTATTAACATGGTTAAAACAAACTGTTTGAAGTCTAGACACAGCATGGTACTCTTTCTACCACTATGTTAGAGGTGGTTTCAAAATAAATATTTATCGATATAGGATACTCATATTGATAAAATGATTTAAACCGCTTATTGTAAATTGTAAAAACAGGGATTTTACCCCCTTTATCTATTGCTGAATCGACGACCTATTCTAAGTAAGAAGAACTTTTTGGATTTGAAAAAAAAAGAAACAACTTTGCGAAACACCTAATACTTTATCTTCCTATTCAGCACGTCGTAAAATATTATTAAACTAACAGTAGGTCAATAACTTTTATGCAACTTGGCAACCTTCAAATTTATATTTGGCCTGTCATCCCACTGGAACATAGCCGGAAAACTGTAAAATGATACAAAAAAATATCCAACTACCAAATTGATCGAGCAACGGCACAATAACTCCTTAGAAACACATTTAGCTAGAAGTCTAATCTTTTTTGGATATAAACGAATAACTATTCTCATACCTAAAATAGGTGACCTTTTAGTTTATAGAAGGCAATTAAGTTTTGTACATAAGGTCAATGTTTTGAAATGACTGTATTTTTAGGTCATAGCACCTTTGAGGTAATATCTAAATTTTAATTTAAGAACCAAAACTAAATCGGTCAGCTTTAATCCGCAACTAAATTGGTCGGACACGGGTGTGTGTGTCCGATAACGGTGTGAATCTAGAGGTCAAATCCTTCCTGGTCTAGATATTAAGATTTGGGTGTACAAATCCAGGTGTGGGGATTCGGCTAAAAATAATTCAATATAAAAATAGAGTTATATGTCTAAATTATGAAACATTATGTGGAATACTTACAAGGTATTCCAAGGAGAAAATATTGATCAAGAGGAGAATCCCAAAAAGTGATACAAGGAGAAGGGCTGACATGGAAATTTCTATATACAAGGTACTCAATTTTCTTCAATTTCACCTTCATTATGTTTTGATTAAAAGTACCTTTCGAGGAGCTTGAATCTCAATACTGTTAATTAAAGTATAGATCACGTTCATATTGAACAATAATCACATACATAGACTGAATGCCTTATTAAGCTGCATATACTATCACTAGCTCCTACTTGAGATGCACATGCCTTACTTAGCAGTTAGCTGCATCATACCATCACTAGCTCTTACTTGACATGCACTAAGGTCAACTAACATTTCCTCTTCTGACTTCTCCCGCATATATTTTCGAGAAAATTACTTAATTTGGCTGCTCGGAGCAAAAAAAACTACCAAAGGTAGTCTTACATCCTTTTCTTTGTTGACTAACCTTAAATCCTTGTTTTGTTACAAAGTGTCTAATGATTCGTCTCTATTTAGTGCTTCTCTTTGTTTTCTACTTCGCTGTGTTTTTCTTCTTTATACGATCACTAGTTTTTTCTACTAACAAATATTCATTTTTAGAAATAATAGATCTCATCTCCACCATCAAACTCACTTTATTTAAATACAATATAACTCAACCTTTATCTTGATAATCATTTTCAAACCAAATGATACACCTATATATTTCTACAAAGGCTAAGTTTAGCATGAAAAGACAATTTTCCAAAATAGGATTTTGTTTCGAGTGGGTATTTGTTGGAATAGATGGGGTACATCTTTTGGAGTTAATTTTGTGCATACAGTATGGTTGCTTGGAAAGTGATGCAGATTGCTAAAACTCAATTGAAGCTCTCTTAAGCTTGAGTATGAAAATTCAGATTTTTTAAAATTAGAATTGTTTCGAGTGGGTGTTGTTGGTATAGATTGGGTACATGTTAAGGAGTTTGAATAACAATTTGGGGATGATTTGGTAGAGATGTGAGGTGGTTTGAATTGAAATTTGAGTTGCATTTCGAAGCAAGAAGACGAAGCTTTTGCATGTATAACTGTGTATCGCTTGTGTATCTCATACCCATGTGTATCGAATGTATGTGTATATCCATGAATACATGACTTTAAGATACATGTGCAGAATATGTGAGATACATGTGTCGCAAAGAAACTTCTCAACTATGAATTATGACTCCAAACCAGTTCACAACACCTCCAATCTTCCTCAAATTTGTATATTGCCTTGTCTTTGTGTTCTCAGCAAATTTCAACCATACTCTTTAAGAAAAAATAAAACTCTTAAGTTTTTGACTGTTGTATATCATTGGTTAATTTTTGTTGACCAAAAATAATTAAATAACATTTTGTGGTTAAGTGGATGTGAACTTCTTTAACTTTGGTACATTCGCCTAATTCTCTCTATGTTTTTTCTTTTCTTCATTAATCGAGAAATTCAAACATGGATAAGGTATACACTATATTATTTGCATTACATTCTCGAAAACCTTGTAAGATCAATGGATGAAAACACATGAAATAGGCAAGAACAGATATAGTCATGTGAAATATCATCTCACATGCAAAAGTAGGTAGGAAAATTAGTTGGAATTGGCTACATCAATCCTCAAGACATCCATACTTCCTCAATATATCCATACTTCACAATTCAAAACTACGCAAATACATGAGCAAATTTTCTGATCAAGTAACCGTATACTCTTTATTCTTCCTTCCACGCCCAATGTTTGCACCCACCCCCACACTCAATTCTCGTCGACTTGGAAGTGAACAGTTCACTTTAAAATCTTTCCTGTGATACACCTACAGTATCCTCCAACCCTAAATACTTCAGTTTAGTAGCATAATACATTTGTTTCTTTGTTATGGACAAGCATCCCATCCCTTAGCATAGATATACAACAAAGTCAACTAGTCAGCACTAGTTCCTGGTCACAAAATTTTGATCTAAGGTGTCTATATCAACTTCTTTGTCCCCGCAAAAATGTGGAGGGAGACATCTCATCAAGCTGATGGCTCGTCAATCCCTTAATAAGGCACTTCCCGGAATCTTCTGCCCACAGTCAATGCCAATTCAATTTGCAGTCCAATCTGATAGATGTCAAGAAACTGCACTACATCCTCACCTAACACGAATTCTCCATCAAAGATCTTAATCAACCACAATGATCCAAATAAACCTACCGAAATCACGGGAAAATGTGGAGTACATATCTACTCAGGCTGTCAATTCAGAAAGGAATAATACAGCAGCTTTCAAATTATCTTCTTTCGGTCAAGCCAAGTAAACTTCTAGTCCAATCTAATAAAAAGTCAAAATTCAGCTACATTTGCTCATCTAAGACGAATTTTCTCACTATAGATGTTAAATCAACCAAACCCGATCCAATAAAATTCTAATCAGCAGGATAGAATAAATCCGCAGTCACTAATAGAAACTAATAATCTGGTGACACCTACACCTGTTTAAGAGTAAAATGCAGAAAAACAGAGAGAATAAAGAACCTCGACATGCGAGTAGAGGCCTTGGTAACCGCGAGACTTGAGTAGAGCATCGAAGGCTTCGTTATGGCCGTTGTTTTGATTTGCCGCGTAAGCACCGTTACCGCCGACCCCCGAATGTCCACCGTTCTCGTCGGAGCAGCAATTTCCCATGGCTGCTACTGCCGCCGATTGCTACAATTTCAGGAAGCAACAAATCCAAATATCTGTGTGCGCGCAGAAACTTTGGTAAATAAATTGAACTTTACTGTATGTAATGGAAACTTTTGAACAGAGAGTTAGAGAGAGAAACGGAAGAAGGGAGAGGGACCCACACTAGCTGCGTCAGTCCAAAAGTTGTAGTAATAAAATAAAAGCGCGTTTATATATTGAAATTATCTCTATGTTAATTGTTAAAAGAGTTCGAATCTATTATCAGAGAATATGATTCTGTCGTTCTTATCATAATTTTTATTTTTAGAGTTAAATGATAAAAATTTTAATTAATATTTTAAAAATATATTTTTTTATTATATTAATACGCAAATGTTTTTCATATAATTTTAAAATATTTAATTTTTTTATTTAAAATATTAAATTAATGTGATTTAATTTACTTTTAAAAATTAATCAAATTAACTTTCGATTAGCATAACATGATAAATATTTTCGAACGAAAAGATCTGATTAAATTTACTCAAAGTTATGCTTGTTTTTGTTTTGCTACACGCAACCTTTGGAGAGGCTGCCCAGTGCCCACCAAGTCAAAGAATGGACCACAAGTTTCTCGAACAAAAACAGCCCCAATTGATTATTACATTTAAACCAGACACAAACGCTCAACAAGTTTTAACTTTAAGTTCACGTCAATTGATTTTCACAAGAGATTTAACTTCTCTATTAATAGTGGATAAGAAAATTATACCGTTTATTTATTTTTTAAAATCTAAAATATTAAAAGCCCAACACAGGGTATATATAAGTAGTACTCCTATGTTATTTTGTGTTAGGTATGTTACAGATGTACAGAATTTACTCTAATATGTACATGTTAATACGAGTATTCTGCTGACCCCATGTAATGATATAACGATAATTATATCAATCACGGCTCAGACTTTTTAATTGATTGAACTAACGCTGCCCACTTGCGCAATCTAAAACTGCATCTATTATTGTCTTCTTATTTATATCTAACAGACTAGCACAGCCACATATTCTAATACTTTGTGTTGGCAGGCAAGAGGTCAACCACTAGAGATTCCTATTACCAGACAGAGGAGCAGAAACAAAATACCAACCTCAAATCACACCAGAAGATGAATAAAGCAAATTATAAGCTTACCACTACTAGCCACACAACTGATAATATTAGTTTTTAGACAGAGAGGGCCAGCTTCCTAAAAGTAATCTACATTTTGCCTCCAGGGCACAACAGATGCCTTCAGAAAGAGAGTTGAGACTATTGGTGATATTCTTTTACATGCATATCATTCCGATAACAACCTAATGATCAAAAGTCTACCCATAACGTCTTATAAGGGAACGCTGGTATGACATGGAAGAAGTCCCTTCCAGTATTGCAGCTTCTGATGAAGCATATTGCTGCAGAACAGGAGGACCATAAGGAGCTGACGGGCCAGAGAAGTAGTTGTGTGTAGCACTACTCTCGTGAGGTGGCAGCATTCCTCGCTCTACTCCTGAGTACAATTGGTAATTCCTGTCATTTAGCTCCATGAGATGTGGCTGCGACACAACCCCACTTCGCATTGATTCATACCTGCGAATGAGACAATTTAAGATCACCCTTCTATATTTATTAAGTTTGAAAATGGAATGATGCACTAAAAAACTGGAAACAGAAGATCAATTTTTTTTTGTTGTTGGTAATTTACTATAGACAAACAAAAATAATACACCGAATGACCACCTAACATCATATCCACCTTTCAGGAAGGGGTAATATGATTAAGTAGGCATCTGACTGAAGACAAAAACTAGATACAAAACCTTTGAATCAGTAATCTGCATTTATGAGCTTTCTTAGATCCCTGCAGAAACTCTATCCTCTATATGACTCCTTTCTTTATATGTGCCACTAACAAACTGATATTTCCATTTACACCTCTACACGGCTTCCAGTTTCTAGTTTGTCAAGTCTGATATATTATAGAACCCCACACTGGTGCTACCACTTCCTTCTAGAATACTTGAGACAAACTCTCAAACATGGGGCTAATAGTCTAACGTCAACTTAATACATGCTAGAAAGTTTCTTTAATTAAAGCCAGAAGGATGTCAAACACAAGAAGATACTTTGAAAAGAGAAAGAACATCATTTGCTGAATAGCAAATATACACCCAATTGCTAACAGCAGGAAGCATTACTATCTTAATGTTAAGCAAGCAATTGAAAACCTCACGTCTTCCGCTCCCACCCCACAGCTTCCAGAACTGAAGGGAAGAGGATAAAGAAAAGAAAGAAAGCAAAGGACACAAAACCTGTGATATGGATTCCATATATCAGTTGAAATGCCTTGAGTGACATATGATTGATGAGAATATGCATTACTGGGAGCAGTCAACTGTTTAGGTTCTCCAACTGTAAGAGCACTCTCCATGAAGCTCGTGGTTCTAGGCCATCCACGCTGAGCACTTTGAAGTTCATAGACTCGTTGAGATTCCACAATTGGTGGAGGATGAACGTGCTGCATTCTGGTCATATATGGATTCTCCACAGAAGTGGGCATCGAGGAATACTTAGAATGATGTTCCATATACAAAGCAGGAATTGTGTTTGGTGGTGGAAGATTGGCCAATGATGAACCCACTTTTGCCTGGGGACAGGACAGCAACTTAACCCGATCTTCCATAGCCCAAGCGGGTGTAATCTTTGGCATGTCAACATTAGCAAAAGACTGGCCCACTTTTTCCAGTGGATGGGCCACCACTGTTGCTGTTACTGACGCAGGTAGGGGACGAAATATAGACAATAAACTCCTCACCTGCATATTTTTGAAGGCCCTTAATGAACAGCAAGCTTTAAAGTATTTGCAAGACACCAACTAATGCTAAATATATCAGCACTCCATATCTAAGAAAGAAATCACTTACTTGATGATCATTTAATTCGGGTTCAAACTTTCTGTCACGATAATTGTCCTTTATAGCGTGTCTGAAAGAGGGTTCTGGCAGGGGAAGACATTCCTTAAAAATTCGAAATTTCACCTGAATAAGAGCAATAGTATCATGAATCATCGTAAATAATTGCAAAAGCCAATTATGTGGATGAAGTGATAATTGTGAATCCAAATAACCTAGACATCAAGCATGTTAATAATACCAGATAAAAACCTAATAGCTAAATTAATACCTTAACAGTCCATGACCTACTGCAGCAACAAAAGAACCCTAACAGGGGATGGATAACCAAGTGGTAAAGACCCTCTACCTCCATGTACAAGATTAGTTGTTTGAGTAAACAAGGGAACAAAGTGAGGAAGGACAACATTTGGCTCCTGAGGGGGCAGTTGTGGTGTAGAGTGACCACATATAAAATAATCATAATAATAATGTGACAAATAAAGAAGTCATGATATGCTGTTCAAAAGAAAAAAGGGAAGCTATGATATGTCTCTTACTAAAACAATACGAAAGAATCACACATCGACAACAATGTCAGGTGTTTATTGGTCCAAGACTCTAAGAGGTTGTTTGGTTGATCGTATCAGTATAATTTATCTCAACATAAAACCCAGTGTGACTAATGAGGATTTGGTTGGCCACATAAAAAAATCTCTGCATTAGTAATGCAGTGTTTTGTTGGTGGTAATAAATAATATCTGCATTAAGTTACACAAGAATTTACGCATTAATTTATGCAGGATAAAATATGGAACAAGAATATGATAGTAACAGTACAAAGGATATTATCCAAATACAAAAATGTCCCTTAAGTAAGTAATCCTTGTATAACAATCCCTTCATTATACTTACTGCTTACAATTCCTTCAATATTAATCACTGTATGATTCAAAAAATATATATTTTTCATTACATAAACAATATCTGCAATTTTTATAATACACATATAACTAGTGTCCAAATCAAATACCTCTAAGTTCAATGATCAATTACAACATTGATGTTTGGTCTAAGACATTAAATTATCTACAGAGTAACATTCAGAAACAAACTAGAATTAGAAATGCATAATCATGTATAAGTTGAGCAAAAGGAAAGAGATTTGGGATGTAACAATTTAGAAAGTATCTTAGTAATATCCCTGTGACTAACAATAACAAGCTACAAACTTACACTGAAGACACATAAGAGTAGACAGAAGGATGTGGAACAAACTAGCAATGACTTTCTACTGATAGTGACAACATCATAGAAATAAAAGCATCACGTGGCTCAAAGCTTCTATATCTTTGGTATTATGCACATAAAAGCCTAAGAACTTGCACAATGAAATGGAAAGATTGGAGAACGGAAATTCTTCAGCTTGAGGGCTTAAGAGCCAAGCAAATCATAAATACAAGCAGGATGAAATTAAATCACATTGAGCCCCACACCCATTTTCTTACTATCATCATACATTGAAAAATCAAGAAGTAAACAGAATTTTAAATAACTGACTGCAAACTGGTTTACCTGTGCTGGAAATTTGCCTCCAAAAGCAAGTGGCTCCAAGTTCATTATTCCAGTGGATGTTGCCTCATATACACCATACAGAAGTTTTGCTTCGAAATCAAACAGGAAAAGCTTTGCCCCTGGCTTAATATTTTTTATTATTTCTTGTTTGTTCAAAGGAAGCCCAAACACACGGAATCTGTAACAATCATGTTTTGTATTTCTACCACACATGAATATAAAACCAGAAATATCATCCTGTCGGTCAGATTCATCCTGCAGGACCAAAAAGAACACATTTCAGAAACTAAGAAATACAACAGGCTAACCAAGTATATTTTTTATGCCAAAATGATGCCGATAAAAATATAACATGCTTTTATTGTTACAGAAGAGTAATGATTTAAATAATGATAGAAGGAAAAAAAAAGTACTTGGGTGTCCTCAGATGGATCAATGTCTACAGCTTCACCAGTATTTTGCTCATTGACAAAAGCAGTAGACAAACGAGGCTGGTGCTTGGGTTCATCCTGCACTTGAGAGACCAGTATATGAGGCTCCATAATTGGTGGAGCATGAAAGTGTGGCATTCTGGTAATATATGGATCCTGAAAATAGATGGGTAATGACATGTACTTGACCTGATGTTCCTTAGCAAAAGCAGGATTAGTATTTAGTGGGCAAACATTGGCCATTGATGAACCCACTTCCTGAGGATACGACAGCGACTTAACCTGATCTTTCACAGCCAAGGCAGGCATAATCTTTGGCAAGCCAACATTAGCCAAACATGGTGCCAATGGATGGGACACAACTGCTGCTGTTGCTGATGCAGTCAGGGGACAAAATAAGGATAATAGACTCCTCACCTGTATATTTCAAGATTGTTTTCGAAGAAAATAAAGTGGTAAAGCATCGGTAAGTGTGTGAAATACATTGATACTTCATACTAAGAAAGAAATCCCTTACTTGATAATCATTTAATTCGGGTTCAAACTTTCTGCGATAATTGTACTTTATGGCGTGACTGAAAGAAGATTCTTGCAGGGGAAAACACTCCTTAAAAATTTGAAATTTCACCTGAGTGGATAGACAAGCAACAGAAACATAAAGCTAGTATCTAGTTACGCAAACCAATTAGGTGGAGAGAGTAATTTCGTCAAAACTTGGACACCACAACAAATGTGTCGCGATTAAGCTCAAAAGGAAAGAGAGTTAGCAGTTGATCCTACCATATCAAAAAGGAAGAAGAAGAAGTTGTGCTACCCCGCATAACACAGCAGTAAAAAACTTTAAAGACTGAAACTATCTGAAATAACTAATTATCCCTGTGACTACAACCATGATATGAAACAAATACTCTGACACCACAAAAATGCATACAGACATGTACAATAAATTAGCAATGGCTTCCTACAATGGGTATGAGACAGTGACAACTAAACAGAAATAAATGCATCACACGGGCTCTAGAGAAGTAAAGGAACATATTATCCCTCAGAACTTCCGCCTACCAGGAGAATATAATATCCACATTGACCGACTAAGCAATTGCCCCAATGACCTGGAAAGATTGGTGAAGAAAATTCTAGATGGGTAGAGTTTCTTAGATAAAATAACTAAAACAATTGGATTAGTTCTTGAATAATACACATACATGGCAAGCTTCGGGGTAAAAAAATCTACCAAATCATAAATGCAAGCAGGATTAGTTCAGATCACACTAAACCAGAAGGTCCTGATCTCATTACCTAATACATCATAAATCTTTTAAACTAAGACTAATAACAATTGGGTATTTTATTTAACTGACAATAAATATGAGTGACAATAAATATGAGTTACCTGTGCTGGAAATTTGCCCCCAAAAGCATGTGCTTCCAAGTTTATTCCTCCAGAGGATGTTGCCTCATACACCCCATACAAGAGCCTCAACTCAATATCAAAGAGGAACAGCTTTGTTCCAGGTTTAATCTTTTCTACCATTTTCTTTTTATTTGAACCAACCCCCAAAACACGAAATCTGAAACAATCAAGTTTTGTCTCTCTATTGCACAAAAATATATAACCAGAAAGGTCCATGAAAGCTTCCTCGTCTTTCTCTTTGTCTTGTGAGGCAGCTCTACAAACGGTAGATGAAGGATCTGTAGAAGCAACAGAAGCAGAGACTCCCGCTGAGTCAATAATAGGGAGAAAAGCTTGATCTATCATACCACTTGGCTTAACCTCTGCATCCTCCATTTTCTTCATAAGTTCATGTTTTTTAATTTAATTGACTGAAAGTTTTCCCCTTCTTTTTCCCCTTCTTGTCTTTCATCCAACCATGAGTGAAGTTGCTGCTCTGCAAAGGGAAAAAGCACAGCTTAGATGTATGTGCTCCACAATGAAGAAACAGGGTCAAATTGAAGAAGCGGGAATGTATAAAGAGAAACAATGAATCTGCACAAAACAGTAATGATGAACCATATGCTGGTATCAGAGAAACATGACAAGAGTAAAACCTGAAATCTAGAAAGACAGTGTGGACAAGGAAAATATGGAGCATGAGTCTGGCCTACGGCTTAAGAAAGAACATACATCCTGGACAATTTTATGTTATCTGCTATAGGAATATTTTCTCCGACTTTTTCTTTCTTTAGGATCAGTAAGCAAAACACCCATTTCTATGACTTGAAGATATCATTTCTAACAGCAATGAAGGATTTTTATGACAAACATAATTTCTGCAACAGAGACGAAAGTCTTATGTTAAAGTATAGACTCACAACAATAAAAATTTGAAAGATCAATGAAATCATATAGATCTCAATATAGTTTTCATGTCGTACTTAAATGCAACATGCATTTATTTTGAAAATTTAAACTCGATGAGATTTAAATTATCATAGTTTAACTACTTGTTTTATCAAATGCACCCAAAATGATTTAGATAATAGAGCAAAGAGTAAGAGAAACTCAGCATTCAGTTCCTAATATTTTGACCCAAAAAAGAAGAAAATTTCGAAGGAGAAGGTCTAAAACAAATTTAAACCATTTGACTGACTAAAAATTATTTCATTAAGGGAAAAAGGAGAATTATAAATTAAAGTTGTTTCTAATCATAGAAAAGTAACATTCTTTGGGATAGTCCAAAAAAGAAAGTGTGTCTCATAAATTGAGATGAGAAGGATAATATTTTATGCTTAAAATAAAAAAAGGAAAAGAAGTCGACAAAATCCAAATAATAACTTTTACATGGTAATATATGGATATATATGGAAAAAATGCAGTAGAAAAATGTGCCCGAGTGGAATCAATCTCACGTCCTTGAGGTGAAAGGATCAACCTTCACCAGTGGCACCATGTGCTCTCTTTGTGTTGTGGGTGGCACGTTTAATATTTATAAGATATTTATATATATATATATATATATATAAACAAAATTTCAACCAAGGTCACAGGGTGTTGTGGCACCCCGTGACTATACATAGATCCGCAATTTGCTGTTTTTATCTACATGAAAGAAAACGGGAAAAGTTGTGCAGAGAGTAATTTTTACTTTTTACTTCCCTTTCTAAGCTGTGGAAACAAATTGATAAACGCACATGTACAAGAGATAAATCATCCTTATAGAAGACTAACAATCCAAAAGGCCAAACTATTCAATGAACTAATGGAAAGAACTACCACATGAAAACCCTACAATTGCTTTGCACATTGAAACGGTACATATTTTCTATCTTAACTTGCAAAGATAGTTTGACCTCATTTCTCACTTCCCACATAGCCTAAAATATTGTATCCCTTCCATTTACTTCTCTTTAACTGATAGAAAGAGTAGCCACATAAATAACCGCGTATAGGAAAAAGTTGTTTTATTTAACATACGTTTAGAAATAAATGCCACCTGAACCTGAAAGGTTAATTAGACATTCTATTTTCTCCCCATACCTTCCCGCTAAAAATGATCTGCACCCAAGGGTTCAAAACTCAACAGAAACAAAAAGCACTAGATGTTTCTTCTCATTTGTGCTAAACTTGGTGTACAGAGTTACCTAGTACTTGTTGTTGGTGGAAGATAACACATATCCCTAGAATTAATTGAGATGCGCAAGCTAGACTGGACACCACGTTCATCAAAAAAATAAATCTCCCTTTTTCATAATAAACCACACAACTCATACATAAATTCGCACACGGATGTTGAAACTGATCATAACACCTACCATTCCTCTACAAAATCAGTCCCATCGTAGAACCACCAATGTCAAGCGAAAATCTGTTTCTCCAAAAAGAGAAATAGTAAATGTTCACACACATCAGGATACCCAAAAACACAAACAAACGAAAAACTCTCAAAATTCTAAACTCAGCTATAAGTTACAGTCCACAACAAAAAAATCCAAACAACTAGTAAAACGTTCATGCATCAAAAGATAAACAGAAAAACCCCATTTCAATTCCAGGAACCTGTACTTCAGACGGTTACCAAAAATTCAAACGAGGAATTGATATTCAACCCAAAAAATCAAGCTGAATTCTGGGCGATTAACGGACTAATGTTACTTGATAGCGCAAACAAACAAAAAAATTTAACTTTGATTTGAATTCTGCTATTTTTTCAGTAGAGAACAAAAAAGTAAAATTCAGGCATACCAGTGAGCAACCAGCAATGCTTGTGCGAGTCAAGAGTGAATGGACGCAGCTCCGTTTTTTCCAATAAATTCTTCTATCGAAAATGAATTTTTTTTTTTTTACATGTATAATTTTAAAAGCAATGGTCTTCATACCATTGCAAGAAATAATTTAGGTAAAAAAAAATAGTGTCTTAAGTTTGATGATAGATTTAAGATAGTGTCTATCTATACCATTGGTCTATTAAATTCGTTGAAATTGATTTATTAAATATTGTTGAGTTTTATAAAAAAAAAAATTATAATTATTTGTTGGGAGTCTTATATGGTGAAAAGTAAACGCGTGAAAAAAATTGAGATTATTTCATATATTAATTTTCTAAATTTAGCTAACATTTTTTTTTAAACCAGTCTAATCTACTTTGGAGCTTGAGTCAATGAACTTTTAGATAAAATTGTTGAGAAACTTCTTTGATGTTAAGTATCTAGACAATGATTTTATGAATATCAGTAATGAATTTTAGGGAGAGATCAAAAAAGATTTCTAAGCATATCTGGCAGCAAAGAACTCAACAAGTTTTTTCGTACTAATACAACTTTTCAGTATGATATTTTCTTCCTCTAATCCTTATAAGAGTTATTGAATTCAAATATATGATTGATTTCCCGATTTCCTCTAGCGAAAAAGATATACAAATTCATTGAATTTCTCCAATCACTATTGTTTTTAAGCTAAATATTGATGAAATTTCCGTTTAGGCTAAAAATATTGGTGGAATTGGTGGAGTCATTAGAGACTCAAGGGAATTGGATTATTAGTATTTACGGAATGATTTATGTTTATAGTCATGTAACGGCAGAATTGTAGACTCTTAAATAACTTATCCAATTCCTAAAGGCATATGTCTATAGTCGTGACTGTAGACATAAATTGTAAATACTAACTCATTTCCTTTAAGTCTCTAATCATGATTACACCAATTTCATTCATATATTTAGCCTGAACAAAAATTCTATCGGTATTTAGCTTAAAAATAATAATGGCCAAAGGAATTCAAATTGCATATTTTTTCTGCCAGAGGCAATCGGAAAAATCAATTATATATTTGAATTCAACAGCTTTCATAAGGATTATAGGGAGGGAAATGTTATGCTAGGAAGTATTAGTACCAAAAAAACTTGTTGACTCCTTTACGGTCAAATGTGCCTAAAATTTTTTTTTTTTACCTCTCCTTAAAACTCATCAGTAATATTCACAATATCATTGTTTAGAGACTCTGTGAAGAAAAGCTCTATCAATGAGCCTTAAGAAGATGAAGAAGACGAGAGAAGAGATGATAGAATGATGAAGAAGAAGCTTTGTATATTTCTGTGTGTGTCTGTACATATGAGCCCTCTTACTTATATATACAATTACATTTATGTATTAAAGAAACTACATTAACTAACCTGTATTTAACCAACTAATTAATTACCTAACTAACTAACTAACTAACTGAAATATTAAAAGAATACATGTTTAGTTTATAAGCTATCTTAACACTCCCCCTCAAGCTAAGAATTGGAAAATACATTTTTCATTCCTAGCTTGTTAATCATTTCTTCATGTTGAGGTTTGCACAGCCCTTTGGTGAGTATATCAGCTTGTTGATCTCTTGTTCCTAAGTGTTGTGTCTGAATAAGCCCTTCAAGTATCTTCTCTCTTACAAAATGACAATCTATGTCAAAATGTTTAGTTCTTTCATGAAAAATTGGATGTGCTGCTATTTGGATAGCAGCTTTGTTATCACAAAATACCTTTACTGGCACCTTTATTTCCATTCCTAACTCACTGAATAAGCCTTTCAACCACACTATTTCAGCAACTGTAGTAGCCATACTTCTGAATTCTGCTTCTGCAGAGCTCCTAGATACTGTGTTTTGTTTCTTTGACTTCCAGGATACCAGTGCTCCTCCTAGTTTAATCATATAGCCTGTAACTGATCTTCTTGTTTCTACACAAGCCCCCCAGTCTGAGTCACAATAGGGTACCATTTCATTGTCTTTGTTACTTGGCATAAACAATCCAAGACCTGCCGTTCCTTTTATATATTTAACTACTCTTAGTGCTGCTTCCATTTGAGATGACTTTGGTGAGTGCATATATTGACTGAGTACTTGTACTACAAAGGCTATATCAGGCCTAGTCATAGTTAAGTATAATAACTTCCCTATCAGCCTTTGATATTTTCCAAAGTCATCAAGAAGTGAGTCTTCTGCATTAGCATTTTTTCCAATGAATTCATCAAACACAGTGGAAGTTAGCTTGTGATTGAACTCCAAGGGTGTAGAAGAAGGTTTACAACCTGCTAATCCCAACTCAGACACAAGTCCTAAAGCATACTTCCTTTGATTCATTAGTATACCTTCTTTAGACCTGGAGAATTCAATTCCAAGAAAATATTTAAGCTCACCTAGATCTTTCATTCTAAACCTTTGTTGTAACTCCTCTCTTATTTGTTGTATATAATGCAAACTGCTCCCAGTAACCAAGAGATCATCAACATATACCAAGATAACTAGAAGTTCTTTACCTATGTTCTTAGTAAATAGTGAATAATCATAATGTGACTGTGAAAATCCCATATCAACTAAAGCCTCTGTTAGCTTTAAGTTCCACTGTCTTGGTGCCTGCTTCAGTCCATACAAGGACTTATGAAGCTTGCAAACCATGCTTTTCTCCCTCTGGTTTGCAAAACCTTCAGGAATCTGCATATACACTTCTTCAGGAAGATCTCCTTGAAGAAAAGCATTGTGTACATCCATTTGAAATATAAACCATCCATATGAAGCAGCTAAAGCCACTACTGATCTTACTGTAACCATTTTTGCTACTGGTGAGTATGTCTCAGTATAGTCTAAGCCTTCCTTTTGATTGTATTCTTTTGCCACTAACCTGGCTTTATATCTCTCAACTTCTCCAGATGCTTTATACTTAACTTTAAACACCCACTTACAGCCAATAGGAACTTTTGTTGGAGGTAGAGGAACAATAGACCAAGTATTGTTGGCTTCTAGAGCATTAATCTCATCTCTCAGAGCATTCACCCAATGAGTATCTTGACATGCCTCTTTATATGTATGAGGTTCAGAGATAGTAGAGTATGCAGCAAGTGATTCTCTATATGTAGGAGCAAGTTTGGAATAAGTAACATATTGTGACATAGGATATAGACATGCATTTTGTGCATTTTGAGTCACATATGAGTCCAACCAAATAGGTGGCTTAGATTGTCTAGAAGATCTTCTTAGAGGAACTAATGGTGCTGTAGTATTAGAAGAAGTCTGAGGCTGTATAGAAGTTGTAGGATTAGAACCTTGAATAGAGGCATTATCAATGTGGACCCACTAAATACTAATCCTGCTTTTGCTAAAGAACATCAGGTCAAGTATATGTCATTACCTATCTATTTTCAGGATCCATATATTACCAGAATGCCACACTTTCATGCTCCACCCATTATGGAGCCTCATATACTGGTCTCTCAAGTGCAGGATGAACCCAAGCACGAGCCTTGTTTGTCAACTGCTTTTGTCGATGAGCAAAATATTGGTGATGCTGTAGAAATTGATTCATGTGAGAACACCCAAGTACTCTTCTTTTTCCTTCTATCATTATTTAAACCATTACCCTTCTGTAACAATAAAAGCATGTTATATTTTCATCGGCATCATTTTGGCATCAAAAGTATATGTGGTTAGCCTGTTCTATTTCTTTGTTTCTGAAATGTGTTCTTTTTGGTCCAGTAGGATGAAGCTGACCGACAGGATGATATGTCTGGCTTTATATTCATGTGTGGTAGAAATAAAAAGCATGATTGTTACAGCTTCCATGTTTTTGGGCTTCCTTTGAACAAACAAGAAAGGATAGAAAAGATTAAGCCAGGAGCATAGCTCTGTATGGTTATATGAGGCAACATCCACTGGAAAAATAAAGTTGGAACCACTTGCTTTTGGGGGCAAATTTCCAACACAGGTAAATCAGTTTGCTGTCATTTAAAATTCTGTCCACAAAACAACATCTTTAGAGTCTTGGACCAGTTAAACACCTGACATTGCTGTTGATGAGTGATTCTTTTCGTATCGTTTTAGTAAGAGACATATCATAGCTTCCCTTTTTTCTTTTGGACAGCATATCATGGCTTCTTTATTTGTCACATATTATTATTATGATTATTTTGTATGTGATCACTCTACCCCAAAGCTGCCCTCTCAGGAGCCAACTGTTGTCCTTCCTCACTTTGTTCCCTTGGTTACTCAAACAGAATTTGCATATACTTTCCTTGTTTGTATATTGACAAGCAAAATATATGAATATACAAGCAAAATATACAGACGCAGCCTCCATTTGTATATGCTTACCTTGTCAAGCGAAATACACAGACTGCAACCTCCATAGCAAGCAATTACCAAAACTATAGTTGTAAAGCCTTATTATATATGATATCTTTGCTGTTTGTGAAATTTTCTCAATTTTACTTAATCTTTCATCCAAACAAACTGATATTTTATGGACAAAGTTAAGTCAGCCCACCATTTCAGTGGGCCTCAAAACAATCAATCCAACCCACCCATACCTGGGTCGCGAGCTAGCACAGACCTGCCCACCGTTTCTTAATATTTCTAGTCTAATTTTACCAACAAAAAAAAAAAACATAAATATACACTTCTTCCGTCCCATATAGTTTATCATTATACTAAATAGTATTATTTCATATTCGTTGATCACCTTATTAAATCAAGAATTTATGAATCAATTTTTTCTATTATCATTGTAATTTGTTCTTTTATAAAGTGTTTACATCTATATGTAAGATTCCTAACAAGTTTTTAAAGGACGAATTAGTAAAATCATCTTCATTTCTTAAGCACAGTATAAAAATGAAAAGTAATCAAGTATAAAAATAAAAAGTAATCAATTAATATGAGACTCACGATGTATAAGGTAACATTACATAGTGTTATTAACCATGTCTTAAGTTCATAATTAAATCATTCCAATAATATAAAAAGGTAGATGCGTGAGAAAGAATTAATTTTTTAGCAGTTTGAAAAACTGTTAATTTGTTAAGTACTTATATTATCATTTTCTCTAACTTAATTTTGATTTAAAATTTAAGACTTCGTTTTTGGTACTTTTTATTG